CGTTACACCGTGCGACTACCGTTTCGTCCAGCGGAACGAGAATTTGGAAATTCGCGAGCGATTGCGTTGCGTCGGTTTTACGGACTCCGGAAGAGGCTCGACGCTAATCCAGTATTTAAACAAGAGTACGAACGCGTAATGAACGAATACATTGACTTAGGCCACATGTCGTTGATATCAGACGAAGCCGAGGGCGGATATTATCTCCCTCACCACGCAATTACCAAATCCACAAGCACTACGACAAAGGTGAGAGTTGTTTTCGACGCTTCGGCGAAAACCAATAAAGGAATATCGCTTAATGATACGTTAATGACCGGTCCCACAATTCAGAGTAAGCTTTTCGAACATCTGGTGCGATTCCGCACACATAGATATGTACTCACTGCCGACATCGAGAAAATGTACCGGCAAATTTGGGTGCATCCGAACGACCGCCTATATCAGAAGGTCTTTTGGTATCACGAGAGTCATATTCGTACTTTCCAACTGAATACCGTTACTTTCGGCGTATCATCAGCTCCCTTTCTTGCCATCCGAACGTTACAGCAACTTGCGAGTGACGAGAGCAAGGACTTTCCTATCGGCGCTGAAATATTAAAACGCGATCTATACGTCGATGATCTTCTGACCGGTGCGGACACCTTAAAGGGACTTTTACAAATTCGCGACCGGACCATCGAAATTCTGAAACGCGGTGGTTTCCATATTCGACAATGGGCTTCGACTCACCCGCAAGCTCTTAAAGATTTGAACGAACGAACACTGGACGTAGAATTCCTCACCAACGAAAATCCGATTCTAAAGACATTAGGCATTACTTGGAATGCGCGTCGTGATGAATTAATTTATACGGTCAACCCTATCAAAACAAGTAACAGAGTTTCTAAACGTCACATTTTATCCGCAATAACAAAAATTTTTGACCCTCTCGGTTTACTCGGCCCGATTATTCTTACGTCAAAGGTGTTAATGCAAGAGTGTTGGAAGGCAAAAATTTCATGGGACGAATCAGTGCCTAGCGCATTACACTCCTCGTGGTCATCGTTCGTAGAACAACTCGAATTGATTGATCATTTGACCGTTGATCGTTGTTTGATAATCAATGAATTCATTGAAATTCAAATTCATGGCTTTTGCGACGCGAGTAAGATCGGTTACGGCGCCTGCTTGTACGTGCGATCCCGCAACAAGCAAGGTGATACGATCGTAAGACTCTGTTGTGCCAAGACGCGCGTCGCCCCTCTTAAGGACATGACCATACCTCGACTCGAACTCAGTGGGGCCCTTACCCTCGCGCGTTTATATCAAGAAGCGTGCACGGCCTTTACTTTTAAACCGAATAAGGTCATTTTTTGGACCGACTCCATGATCC